CATCAGGTGCTTTGGATAGTAACTTTTCCCTTCAACAATGCTGTGGTTAGAGGTGACTGATCCCCGTGTAGTTCAAAATCCATGTGTAACACTTATGCCACTCCAAATGTAACTACAAAGCATACACAGTTGATTAACACACACCTCCTCCAACCCATATCAGCCTCCCAGCATGCCCTGGCCACCATGTGGAATCATCATGCCAACCAAGCCTCCACCATCAGGCTGGGGGATCGCTGCACTGCCGACAACAGGGGCCTCAGGAAGTCCAAGACCCATCTTTCTTAGGCTATTTCCTGGAAATGAATAAGCAGCATAGTATTTATTGAACATTTATTTATTGAAATATTTATTTCTTTACCGTGTACAAAGCAAATATTTCACTTTCACTTATTACTTTAGTGGCATGTTGTGGTAGACAAAACTAGATGGTGACACATTATCTCCATGCATTAAGCAAAAGTATTTGTTCTCTCCATAGGCAGCGATTGCTTGATAATTGCACCCCTTTTTTGTTACACTGGTATAAAGAAAAGATACCTGTGTATCTTGACAATGATTTTGGCAGCCAGAATGCTCACACAATGGTCTCTTTTTCTGTTTGGAGCCTAATTTCAAGTGCATGCTTCATCACTATGCACTTTCTTTTGCAACTGATAAGAGGAAAAAAATTTCTTTTTTTTCTCTTGAAAGGACAAGAGGGGCAGGCAATAATATGTTCCTTTTTAAAAGGAATAATGTTGAGAGTTTCCTGCATTTCTGTTATGCCAATGACAGAGAGAAAGGGCAAATCATATGACTCTCCAGCTTGCTTCTGTTTCAAGTGCTTTGTGGTATGTGGAAAAGAGAGAAGGGTGAGGCTTGAGGGTTCTTGCTTAACAACACAGCTCTGTTTACAAAGACAAGGTGGAGGAGGTGGCAGTGGTGGAAAAGCTAGAGATAAGGGAGTGTATTGATTAAGAGAAGTAAGAGGAGGAAAAGGACAAGAAGAAAATAAGCTTCAGAGGCTCAGGTTTACTTTTATGTGAATATCTGCCAAGCCCTGATCCATGGCATCAGAGAGAGAGAGAGTGGGACCTGGGGGTTGGCATTGCCTACATGCATCCCCAATGGACCAATGGGGTCCAATGAATTAGGCAAGGAAGAAGGTGCCACTAAATAGGCAAGGAAGCTGCCCAGAGTGGTTGAATAGACCAGATGGGGGAAGGAAGGAAGGAAGGAAGGAGAATTACAGGCAAAGAGAGAAGTGACATGGGGCTTGTGCAAAGTCTAGTAGGCTTTATTCTGGTCCCAAGTGGAGAGAAAGAGTTTAAATATGTGATACGGGCCTGATGTAGGCAGCATGTTTATGTTGCCCTGGGAGGGAGAACAGAGGGAGGAAGAATGGTTGTTCCTGCAGGCTCCAGTCCAGTCCTGGGTGGGAGAGTAGGAGGAGAAAGAGAACTGGACATGCACGTAGAATGGGGCTCACACAAGCACTGTACACAAATAGCTGCAAGGGGAAGGGGAAAAATAATGCTCAGCCCATTCCCATTGGGGAGGGAAGAAGAGGGGAGGCATGAGAGAGAGAAAGGAAGAGGGGGAGTGAGGTACGGGGTAAGTATTGTCTGTGCACACACATGGTCATGATCCGGATAGAATGGGGAGGACAATTGGTGCTAGCCCTGCAAGCCTCAAACCTCCTTGGGATGTAAGGATAAAATGGAAGTAAGATTCCTGTGTGTGATGCCTTGCTTTCATTGGAGAAAAGAAGAGAGATGAACATAACAAATAAACTCTCCATCCATGACTTGCAGCGTTGTATCCATCCTATTCCTGTCACCTTTTCCTGTGTCTAGTAGATTCAATAAAGTGCAAGTTTTCCAGTAAAGGAAATAATGACCCAGTTGTAGTTGTGGGGAGGATATTAACTGTGCCTGTAGTAAATTTTTCCCCACTGTACAACCTTTTGTTTGTTATGTGCCTTTAAGTCAGAACTGATCTTAACAGGGCTTTCAAGGTAAGTGAGATATTTAAGTATTGTTTTTATCAGTTCCACACCCCCAGTGAGCTTCCATGGCTGAGCAGGGATTCAGACCCAGGCTTGCTGAATCCTAGTCCATCACTGCAGGTGCTAACCCACACTAGGTATCTCAGCATAGAACTGTAGATGACTTCGAAAGGGGCAGGGAGAAAATTGAGCTCAACCTCCTGCCAAATCAGGAAATGCATAGCTGACAGTTGGCCATCAAACCTGTGTTAAAACCTTTGAATAAATATGTGAAATATAACCCAGTACCTTCCAAGGCAATCTGTTCCTCTGCTGAATCCTTTTTATCATCTGGAAGTGAAGAATGTGCATAGAAATATAGTTTAAGAAATGCAGCAGGTGTTTCTTAAATCACTGTACCCATTCATTGAGGTGAAAAAAAAAGCAAATTGACAAGACAAAACAAGTACAGTGGTACCTTGACTTACGAACTTAACCCATATTGGAACGGCGTTCGTAAGTCGAAAAGTTCGTAAGTCGAAGCACCATTTCCCATTGAAATGCATGGGAATGGGATTAATCTATTCCAGCATTTCAAAAAAATACCAAAAATAAAATAAATGAAAATATGCATTTCAAAAAAATACCAAAAATAAAAATGAAAATATACAGAGCAAGTCCCACTCTGGGACTGCAAAGAAACAACAACAACAACAAAAAAGCACAAATCCAAAAACAAAACAACAGAACACAGCATACTTCTGTTTTCGGGCAAACCAACCACACATGTTCTAATATTCCTTTATGGCCACACTTTCTCCAGCGCAATTGTAGTATCTCCCTACTAATTTTATGTAGTTTGGTAGGACATAGGTGCCACCTATGGACTACTTTTAACATCATTTTTTAAAATTTTGCTGAAACTGTTTTGTATTACATTTCCCCCCAAATGTTTTCTGGTATGTTATTGCTTAAATTTGTTTCTCAGTTTATCTTTGATCCTGTGCTACTACCATATTCTTTGTCCAGAATGCTTTTATAAATTAATGAAATTAGTCTTTTTCTCTTTTTATTAATCCTATCAGTACAGTAATTTTCTATCTCTGTTAATGATCTATTAGGTCCTGATTTCTTATACAGTTGAATTGCGACATTTCTTATCCAGATGAGTTGGTATTTCTGTAGATGTTTGCATTAAAACCTGGAGAGAAAATGTTCACAGTCATGAAGCAGACATATTCTAATTTTATGGCACTGCTGATAATAGTTTGTTTGTTTGTTTGTTTGATTGATTGATTTATACCCCGCCCATCTGGCCTATAAGGCCACTCTAGGCGGCTTGTATGTTTCCCTTGTACGTACATATCTTTTATTCTATAAATTCCTGTTTCCTCACAAAGATTGAACTGAAGATTTTTATCCTTAGATTTAAACTGTGGGTGTTCAGAACAAGGGCATAAGGGGAAAGAATGTTCATATTTCTTCTCCATATTCTCACTGGTTCTATAGTAAAAGGGTTTTGTAACTGAGTCCCATTTCTTGGCAACCTACATGTATATAAATGTAGCTTAATTGGGGTTACTTTACCTTCCTCTTCCATTTGAACCCATTCAGGGGTTTCCTTTTCCTTTAAAAAGTTAATTACTTGTACTATTTGAAAAGCTCCATAGTACTGTATTTTATTAAATGTGGTATTGCTAATTCTCCTTTTATACTTGGTTGATATTTTACAAATTTTATGGATCTTATTGTTCTTCCTTCTCCTGCAACATTTTTTATTTTTTATTTTTTATTATTTGCCATAGTTTCATCTTTTTCATTGCTGGTTGTAAGAGTATGTTTTGAAACAAAAATAATAATTTTGGTAAAATATAGGCTTTTATTGTCACTATTCTACCTAATAGTGATAAATTTAGTTTTTTTGGCTTCCTTATTTTCCCCTTTTAGTTGCAAATATTGCCTCAATTCCTATACAATACTGTAGTTGATTTATGCTTTGTGTTAACCAGATCCTTAAATATCTCTTAAATATCTAAAACTAGAATAACATAAATCTAAATTTGACATTACGTTAATTTTCTTTTGTTGTACTATAGGAATGTTTATACATAACAGTTTAAAATGTTGATGATTAATTTTTAGTCCTGTGTGCTGATTAACATATTTTTCTGTGTATAACACTTTCCCTTAAATAATTAGACAAAAAATTGAGGGTTGTTTTATATACGGAAGGCAGCTGCTTTTCTCTGCCATTTGCAAAGCTACGGGGCTTAGCAAAAAAGAAGGGAAGTCTCCCTTCTCATAAAGCAGCCGTGAAAGGACTGCACGATCGCAGCCCTTTGATCCTGAAGCCCTTTCATGGCTGCTTTGAAACCCTCTATGAGGGTTTGTTTTAGGGATGTGATTAGACACTTCATATTATTTTGTAAGTCTCTTCTTAATTGTTTAATAAGCAGCTTCATCTCATCATTAGTTTCTTTCTGTCCCTTTCACTTTTTCTTACCAGACTCCTCCTTTTCACTCTCCGACTCCTCCAGTGTCCCAGTGGTGACTTCCAGTGTATTTACTTTTGGAAACTTCTTTGGTTTCCCCATATCTATCCAGGTCAAAATGTTTCCCTTTTCTATTTACTATAATCACACTTATCTCAGTCTTCTTTTCTCAAGGCTAAATATGCCCAGTTCTTTCAGTCTTTCTTCATATGGTTTAGTTTCCAGCCCCCTGATCTTCCTTATTGCCCTCCTCTGAAGTTGTTCCAGTTTGTCACCATCCTTCTCGAAGTGTGGTATCCAGAATTGGACACAGGATACAAATTGAGGTCTGACCAGTGCCGAATAGAGGGGAACCAGTACCTCAAAGGATTTTGAGACTATACTTCTGTTAATCTAGCCTAAAATAACATAGGCCTTTGGAATCTGAATATTTGTTTGTGCTGTTGTCTGTATTCTGAATGCTTGAAATTTCTTAGATGCTGTCAGAATCAAACTTGCCAAAATAATCTGCATTTTAATTTTCCCTTTTGTTGTCTCAGGTAGTGAAACCCTGCTTCCTTCCAGTCAACCATCCATTAGTAAGTATGTTTCAAAATAATACTCCTTCCACTGTATGATATCATATGTGGATTAAGGCACAAATATGCAGAACCTCGCAACCCAGCAGCCACTATGAAGATACACACATAGCTCTGCCAATGCTCATTAGAGTTCAGTCAAGAATCTCTAGATCTTGTTGTTTGCAGCAGTGTCCATTAGTGTAGCTGAAACCACCGTTAGCTCAGTAAGACACTTTCCATAGTGTAGACCTTTCATGTGGCTGCCTGGCAATCTGTACTGGCCCTTGGATCAAATGGGACAAGACCGCTGGAAAATCTCTTTGTTACTTTTCCCAAGTTAGCTCAGTCTTGGAGCACATGAAATGACTCGATAAGCTTCCATGTAATGTATTGCACAGATGATCCTCTGATTAGATATCCAGGTCCATAAAGTATGCTCTATGCATACATAATTTTAGAAGAAAATTGTAGAGTTTGGGTTACCCCCCTTCCATGCCACTAAAATGTGGCAATGCACTAATTTGGCTCTAGGCCCTGCCCCCCCCCGCCAAAAAAAGTTCTTGAAGGCCACTTTTGTGTTATGTGCTTAACACACCTTTGTTACTGCTGGCAAGTAAATAGTCCCTGGCAGACTGTAACAAAGGGAAAAAGTCATGGTCTTTCACAGACATTCACAGATGTACAGTCATTAAGCAGATACTGTAGTCTTCAACTAATCTGTATGATGAATCCATAACTGCATTGAAGGGTGCCAGAACTAATTCCTGGCCATTAACCTGTCTCTAATGTATTAGTCAGTTAACCAGAGACAATGAGATCCAATATATGTTTGTTTATCTGATAGCCCAGAAATCAAAAACCAATAGGATGAGACGTTTATTGTTTATTGGGATGGAAGGGAAGTTCCAGTGAATCCCGCTGCTTGCTTCTAGGCTGCAGAGATTTTTTAATCTTCAGGTTTCCCAAAATCATGCTCCCCCTGAGTGAACATTATCAAGGG